CCTCATGGCAGGTACAGGGTCGTCAGATGCGCCTGCTGGGGTGTGTGGGCCTGGGTCAGGAGCAGGGGCTGCGTCAGCAGAAGCGGATAAGGGCTCATGACAACAGCTGGGTCCACGACAGCAGCAGGGTGCAGGACATCAGCAGGGAGTACCTGAGGGAGAAAAGAGGGGTGTGTGGGTCCGCACTCAGGAATAGAGGCCGCATCAGGGGCGGCAGGGATTACTGCTGGGCCGGGGTCGGCGTGTGCTGGGGTCGGAAGAGGAGCGACTGTCTGCTTAGAGTAGCAGAGCTGCTCTAGGGTGTCTAACCTGCTGTGTAGTAGAGACAGTAGCTGTAGAGCCCATGAGAGCTGCTTCTGGGTGGATAAGCCAGTCTTTCATGTTGCTTGAAGACTGGGAGCGTGATCAGTTTCTCTTCCATCCTGTGTGAGTGCGAATCTCCGGGAGTCACCATTTGTGGGGTTTAGTATGTTTGGTTCACACTCAGGATGGGGTGGAGAAAGGAAACTCACAATGTGCTCTCTATATACATGTTGTATTGGATGTAGAATGCAGCTTGGTGCTGGGAAGGCAGCATGGTTACAAGCGTGATGTAGAGAGAGCTGGTTGGTGAGGATGCTCAGAGAAGGACAGCTTGTGGGTCGCCATGCTCGCCGGCGGGAGCGAGGACCGCCAGGCAGGCGGAGGAGGAGCGAGGGCCGCCAGGCCGCAGCAGAGGAGGAGGTGTTGCTGGCTGCGGCTGTAGGTAGAAAGAGAGAGATCACCACGAGGTCAGGTCTTAAATAACGGGGGTAGGCGTGGCTTAGTAGTTGACCCCCGCTCCGTGATGTATGGCGGCACTGGTTGACCTAGACCACGAGGCATACACTGGGGAATTGGTGGGGTAGGCTACTCAGCGACAAACAGCGTTTGTAGGGGAGAAATCCACTACAGGGTATTCAAGATGGGGGCGTACAAGTGCTTTAAATAGGTGTAGTTGTATTTGCTCTTCCATTTTGCCGAATCTTCTTAATTTGGTAAGCTGTATTTGGGCTAGTCTATTGCGCTCTGTTATGTGTTTATTTATTCCGGTTCTTGTTATTGATAGCCCCAGTATTTTCCTTCGTTTGAGTATTGTATTTCTTCTTTGTTTACTGTGATTGGTGCTGGGTTTATCCTTGAAATGTGTATGATTTTTAGTTTCTGTGTATTAGTTTTTATTTTCCATTTCTTCTCGTAATTATTTATTTGTATTATGGCGCGAGCTGTTTTTAATGCCATCATGTGTTTGGCCTTGCCTGGATGGCGGATGATCTGGGTGACATCATCAGCATATGCGATGTATTCACCGTGTATTGGTGGCGGCATGTCTGAAGTGTAGATTGTATAAAGAGTTGGGGATAAATTACTTCCTTGTGGTACTCCACTATAAAGTCTGAAGCTTGGGCCTTTGTGATTGCCTTTTATAATGTGTGCTTCTCTATTGTCCAGGAAATTACACAGTAGAGAAGTGAAGTTGTTAGGGAGTTCTTGATTGGTTATTTTATATTTAAGTCCCAAGTGCCAGACCTTATCGAACGCTTTTGCCACGTCCCTTAAAACTATGTTGCACTGTTCTTTATTATGCATTGCGTTTGCAATACTTTCGTATATAAGGGCTATGGCTGTGTTTGTTCCTCTGTGTTTCCAGAATCCGTGTTGTCTAGGGTTGTATTTGTATTCCAGTTCCAGGTGTGTTCTTAATCGTTGGTTAATTATTTTTTCCAAAATTTTTCCCGGTGTTTCTAAGAGAGAGATTGGTCTGTAGTTTTCTACTGCTGTGGGGGCTTTTCCCGGTTTTGGTATCAGTCTGATAATTGCTATCTTGAATTTCTTTGGGTAGTAGCCTGAAGCTATGGATGCATTGAATATATTTCTTAGTAGGAGTACCATGTTGCTTGGCAATTGCTGTAAAATGAGTTTATTTATTTTGCTGACTCCAGGAGCCTTGTTCTTAAAGCTATTGATTGTTCTTACTATTTCGTCCACCGTGATTGGTTTGTTTAGTGGGAACATGTTGTAGGGGTATCGAGATATTAATGTTGTCTAGCACTCAGGATGGAAGGAAACTCTAATGTGGTTTTCTTATATAATATAAGTTATATGATAGACAGTCTGGTGCTGGAGGTGCTGGAGGAGGTGTTGCTTGTTCAGGAAGATGGGCAGAATGAGAGTTGGTTGGTGAGGAAGCTCAGAGAAGGACAGCTGGTGGGTCGCCATGCTCGCTGGCGGGAGCGAGGGCCGCCAGGCAGGCGAGGAGGAGCGAAGGCTGCCAGGCAGCGGCGGAGGAGGAGGTGTTGCTTGTTCAGGAAGAATGGTCAGAATGAATCTCAATGGAGAGACAGAGCTTATATACCCAGCAGCCGCTATGAGTCATGTTGGGAAAACCCGAGAAGTCGCTGGTCTTTTGGCTCGGTTGCTAGGATACGGCGACATTGGAATGCGGATACGCTTGGTTGCTAGGGAAGACGGTAGCAGCTGGTGGCTGTGGCTACGCAGTTGTAAGCAGTTGTAGGGGAGACGTCCACTACAATGTCATCCAGTGTATTCAGGTCGATCGTGACCACGAGGTCAGGTCTTATATAGCAGAGGTAGGCGTGGCTTAATAGTTGACCTCCGTCATGTAAGGCGGCGCTGGTTGACCTAGACCACGAGGCATACACTGGGGAATTCGCGGGGTTGGCTACTCAGCGACAAGCGTTTGTAGGGGAGAAATCCACTACAAGATGATTTTGGTGAACTATATTTCCGTGAGCTCCCATACTTTGCTCTGAAGATAATATCTTTGCCCACATCAAATGATGATGTAGAAAGAATCTTTTCCAAGGTGAATCTGATCTGACCAAAACTAAGCAAAGAAATAGGCTATTCTTTCTACGCAGACTTTAACATCTCTAATCATTTCATCTGAAATGGTTCACAAATGTGTTTCATACGAGCCAAGTGAAAATTTGAATTTGGTTTGTAAAAAATCACAATGATTAATTGTAAATACCATGTATGTGTATTGTTTATTACCTTTGTATTTCATTGCAAAATGGGGGAAATATATGCACATTTTGTTAGAAATATATATAATTTTTCTGAACCTTATTACGACTTGTTTTTTATTCTATACCAAAATAAAATGTATTTCAATATCAATAAATATAGTCTATGAATATTTTTTATTTATTTCCTGTTTAATTCAGTTACTCAATAATTTTACACGTTTTCTCTGATGTGAGGTATGGCAACTGAACTAAGCGGCAACACTTTATAGTCTTTGGTACAGCGGATACAGAGTACAGCCTTCCAGAGTTGCCAACTTAGCGACTTTGTAGCTAGATCTAGAGCTTTTTGTTTTTTTCTAGCGACACTTTAGAGCGATTTGCGACTTGTCGCAAATCTAGAGATATCCACAGAAATCTAGCGACTTTCTGGATACTTTTGGACTGTCCATGAAAACTCAGTTTTCCTAATTTCGAGCCATAATATATAGCAACGGGGTTACAGGGACAATAAATAATAAGAAAAGTTTAATACATTTGAACGGGTCGTGGTACAGAAGGAGGGACACGTCTATTTCCTGATCACTTGATGTCAGCCCGTCCATGCATCTAACACCCTAACAGTGGCGGCTCGTGCAGTCCTCCCAGACACTCACTGCCAGGCGTATGATTCCTTTAGAGAGACAGCTGAATAATACACTACCAACAAATATATCATTTTATATGTTATTTAATTATTTTCAATACGTTGCTAAGTGAATTTTCATTAAAATCAGACCAAAATTTAAGTTACTTTCATAGTTGCTGTCAATGCTGTACGATTCATGTCTGTTATTAATTGGCGCCGCCGCCGCACTTGAAGCAGCTCAGTCTCGTACAACGTGTGGACGGTGTGGTTAAATCGTGCTTTCTTTAATTACCCTTTGACGATGGAAAATCGAGTGAAGTATTTGCAAAACATCAACTTTTCCCAGCTGACATTAAATGAAAAGACTGAAATCAAAGCAAGAGGAAGACCTACACCAGTTTTATCCATTCAACAGAACAGTACAAGCAGGAACAAAGAATATACACGCCAGTTTAACATGAGTGTTTATCAGAATGACAGACTGTCTGCTTTAGCAGTGATATCCATTGAAAATAAAATGATAACAGAAATAAAGGATTTTAATGAAATAGTAATAAACAATTTTGCTACATCGAAGAGCAGACGCGCCGACTTTATTTTCAATTAATACTGGTCCATCACCACCAACACTACTACCATGCCCTGGGAATTCGTGGACATCAACTACAACTCATACCTGAGGTAGGTCAAATTTGTGTATCCTACTGTTGTGTGAGGCTTGCAGTCCCTCCATTTTATTTTTCACGAGCCGCCACTGCACCCTAAAATTGTGGTCAGAAGTGGCAAATTACAGAGATGCGACAGGTGAAAACCCTTACCATGATCTGGCTGAAATTGCACTCGCTGCCTTATCTCTTCCGCATTCAAACGCAGATGTAGAGCGCACATTTAGTAATATGAACTTTGTGAAATCAAAATTGCGCAACAAAATGAAACTATCGACATTAAAGGCAATTCTTACAATAAAGTATGGGTTAAAAAGACAGAACACCTGTTGTGCAAGTTATGAACTTCCTAGTGATATTTTAAGAAAGATAGGGACTGTGGAGGCACACAGTTACAAGAGAACCTGAACCAAGCACTTCACATGCTTCCAGCTCTACAGTTGTTCATACTGCCGACGACTACGGAGAGGACTGGGATGCAATTATTATTGAATAATAGGTAAGTGTGCACATTAAACTTTAAAAAAATAATATTTTTATTTTTACATAATGCATTTTATTTATACTCCGTCCATTATAGTCGGCATTATGAAAATATTATTTGCATCAAATTACTGAAGGGGGGGGGTGGGGGGGGGGAATAATAGCTAGCGACTTTTCATGGAAGATTTAGCGACATTTAGCTACTTTTAGGTACCAGCCTAGCGACATTTGAAAATCCGAGTTGGCAACCCTGCAGCCTTCACTGATAGTCGCCTGATTCACCTTGAACCGTAGCAGCGTTCTTTGATAGCCTGAACAAGGTAATCGTGTGCCTTTGAATTTATTTTCATTGATTCAACATATGGCGGATTCTTAATTCGAATTTCGTATATGAAGAAATAAGCATTTATTGGCAAACCTAGGTCATATTGTTTACAAATTACATATCTGTATTGTCTGTATACGTGCTGTATTAGTGTAAATTTGTATATACCTAAACTTGTATGACGATTTTACTGATTGTCTATCTATTTAAGCTCACAAATCACATATCGGTAAGATTAATGGGTAAAGGTGGAAGAGACGGTTGGCACCAGAAGGACTTCAAGCAGTTGCACCTAATTATCAGATGTTTGGATGATACCGTGAAATAAAATCGAAGCGACAACTTGTAGTATTTTGTATCTTTTAGTTTATCCTTGGATCATAAATTATTTGTTAGAAGGCAGGGCATGAAAGAAGAGGGAAATAGTGGGGTAAAAACATGGTAAAGGTGTAGAAGAGGGAAGGAATTGTCTGAATTTTTTCCTACACACTGATGATATTAAGCACAAAAATAGGAATGACAATGCATAGTACTTAATAGAACCTGACCAAACATAACCAACGTATGGGCTTGTTAGGTCAGGTTCTATCCAATATTGTGTTAATTAATGTACAACTTACCTTAATATTGAGGTTGATATACATCAGAAAATGGCGAGGAGGAATATGTGGAAACGTTCACCATCATTTAGGAAACGTCTTTTGAAAAGGTATTCAGCGAGGTAAACAACAAAAGTGTCGCTGGGAGGAGATTTGTGAAGCGGGATAGAGTAAATAAAAAGATTGTCAGGTTCTATTAGGTTCCATGGATTGTCGTATCCATTTCTGTGTTTAATATAATGTTATTAGCATTATATAAAAAATAAATACTAAATAATGCAAAGAACCTAATAAAACCTGACCTAACATACATAAGAAAGAACAAGAGAATAAGGAGTCTTCAATAGGCTGGTTGGCCTGTGCATGGCAGCTCCTGTGTGTTAGGTCAGGTTCTATTAAGTTCTATGCATTGTCGTTTCCATTTTTGTGTTTAATATCATGATATTAGTATGCAGAAAAAATTCAACCAATTCCGACACTTCCTTCCGGCGGTCACGCTCTTCGACAGTACACCTTTACCAAAAACACTGTGAACACTGATAATATGGTAGTAATTTCGGTATTATTTTAGTTTCGGTCATCCAAGGAATCTCAGGAATTTAACCCACACCAGAAGGTAAATTTTCACTTGTTGCCACTAAATGAAATCAAAGCTGAAGCTATGATTTTCCAATGGTTTTTGATGTGTAGTGAACGAATTTGACCTTTTGGTCCAAATCAATAGTTTCTGTGATGAGCCCCCTTACCCTCCTCCCTTCTTTGAATCTAGAGATTTGTTATAAAAATCAAGGTAAAAAGTGTTCAAAACACAAAAGAACCTATCGGAAAAACAGTTTTGAATCTAACCTAACGGGGTATGCCCGTTTCTTCACCAGTTACACCCATTTCGTCACCACTGCTTTACCCGTTTCATCAACGCGTTCATTCCCATCAATATGTACATGAAAATAACTGTTGCTTGGGATAGAAAATAATAAAAAACACTAAGACAATTTATTAAAGACAAAAATAAAAACATTGTTAATACGCCTGCAATCATCTCACTTAAACAAAATGCGGAAGACAAAAATTTACTCGTGCAAGCTTGGTAAAAGACAATGACTTTTTTTAGGAAATTTGAAGTGGTGATATTTTTTCTTCATATTCATCCCACAGCTTCCAGAGATGGAGTTGTTTGTCATGATTTGCTTTTCTTGTGCACGATTTTAGCTTGTGCTCAGCAACTAGTTGTAATTGCAAATCAATCATTGAGGTTTCTCTGTGAAGAAGAGGGACAAGGAGGTATAGAGCAAGATTGATCTTTGCTGCTCGGTGGTTTATGTGCTTTTGCCAAATCACCTTCATTTGGGTAAATTTTTATTAGTTCACACAACGCTGTTAGAAAGTCAAAACTAGGTTTTTCTAGTGTATTTGTGTGCGTTTTGATTGGTTCTGACCTTGATTTCAGTAGGAAATTGCCTGTTTTTTTTAGTTATCGTGTGGTGGTGGTGGGGCGTTTTCCGACAAAAATCACAGCCAAGCAAATACAAAATACACACACACACACAAAAAAAACAACACTAGAAAAACATAAACCGAACCTTTTTTTGGATAACCTAACCTGATTTAACCTGACCTAACCTAACCTAACTCTCACCATATGATGAAATCATTTATTTCTTAGCTTACAGTATTGGCCTGGTTCTTGTTCTTTTGTAATCACTGACGGTGTACGAACACCAACGTCTCTTCTTTGTTTTGGGAATAAGGAACGAGTTACTACAATGCCACATATGTTGGTCTTGACGACATTTACATTCGTTCTTACACTTAGGACACTTTACTGAGGTCGGGAGAACACCATGAGACCTAATAAATGCTATAGCTTGTTAATTTTTTTCTTCATCAAAATGCGCAATCAACTCCATATAATTAAAGTGACACCCATTGCAGGCTTCCGTGGTCGGAAATGAATTTGTTCCGACCCAAAATTACAATCGAATCTGATTGGGCAAAAAATACAGCGAATTAAACCACAATTAATTTTAATTGGTGACGAAAAGAAAAATGCTTTTGATTGGCCGCGTGACGTGTATGGGAAAGCATGCGCATGACGATATATGAAGGGAACACGTTGAGTGGGAGGTTGGGTAGGCGATAATGGCAGAAGATTAACGGAAGAAAAAGGAGAAATATCTGGCATGTGTTATCTCCGTTATTATACTTTTGCGACGGTAATGTAATAGAAGAAAATTATCTTAAAATTAGATGACTTATTCGAATATGATAATAGATTGGGGGTAGGAAAGTTGTGCGCTCTAATGCAAAAATACCTACATTTGTTCTGTATTTTGTTTATTTATCAATGTTTTATCGTTTTCTTTATTAAACAATTAATATTCATGTATAATAATAACATAATTCTTCATTTGTTCTGTAGTATTTTGTTTATTTACCAATGTTTTAATCGTTTCCTTTATTAAACAATTAATATTCATGTATAATAATAACACAAGAATTCTCGAGTCGTCTGTATACATGTGTAATTTCTATTTGTGTAAAATAATAACTTACATTTAGTCACTAATACCAGCGACTGTTAGTGGTGACGAAACGGATTTAATATTGGTGACGAAATGGGGTGTATCCAACCTAACCATCCAAACCCAACCTCACCTCATCAGACTTAACCTAACCTAACCGGGGGGCTCCACAGTCATAAGATGTTTTGGGTGTCTACCGCTACTTCGTTTAATGATCTGGGTGTGTACCGTTATACATGAACATACATAATAAAATGTGGTAAATATTCGTCCATTTTGGTGTGCTTTACTCAAATCTGACCTTCATTTTTGGTGCAAATTTGCTGTAGTATTTGAGAAACTATGGAAAATTTCATTTGTAACAGAAGCCACTAATTTGCACCAAAATGGTGGTCAGGTTTGAGTAAAACACACCATAAAACACAAAAAAAGCCTAACCCAACCCAACCCTTTTTTGGAGCTTACCTGCTACTGTGGTGGAGGACACAGGTGGGCAATCTGGTATGCTTATGGGGACAGACAAAAGAATTTCTGTCTTTTCATAATTGTAAAATATTTCCATGTAGGACACAATCTTGATGTTGGTAGGACACTGTGATCTTGTAAAATTTGGATTGCTTCACTATTGTTCTGATAAACTTGCTGAATAACAGATAGATAAGGGAGAGAGCACTTTTCACACACCATCACCAGCCTTCAAAATGGCTGTTTCAAAATTATTGGCCAGCCAAGTCACATCACAATATTTGAAGGTCATTGGTTGTCATGTCACAAAGAGGAGGAGGAGGATAGGACAAGAAAAGTGAGCAGAGGATGAGAAAAGTGACTCTGGCAACATGGCGGGTACAGAAATTTATGCCTAGAAATTTGTGAGGTACTCCTTTAATAGGGTCTGAGGAGGCAAAGGTCCCCCCCTCCCTACCCCCGGTTAGGTTAGAGATATGTTTCCTGGGTTCTGTGGCTAGATTAGATATTTAAATACAGTGATGACTGGAACTAAAATTTTACCAATTTAATGCCCCTACGTCCTTTGTAGGCGAAGAAATTAAATATTTATCAGGATTATGGCTTCATCAGATCTCCTGTGGTGACCACGTTTTGGTCCACATTGTCTGTTATACTGAAGCGTTTGCGGTCTTTGTTTACAGGTTAAGAAACAGATGGCATGTTTATTACGATTTATATTGGATTGCATTTGTTAACTTTTTTAAAGATGTTTGGAAGATAGTAGGAAAATCAAAATGACGATGCACAGGTTAGGAAGTTAGGTAGGTCTCAGGTTCTAATATGTTCTGTGCAATCTCAATTCCATTTTCACATTCAGCATCATGCAAATACTGTCTCCAGAAATGTTGGTGTAATTCCATAAGTTATTTCTGGTGCTAACTGTCTCTGACATCCTTACCTTGTTAAGCTATCTTCTATTAGTTATGCGGGTCATGTTAGTCAGTTTGCATGTGGGGTGCTGGACAACTCGTACCCAAGTAAATCGTACCCATCAGAACATGTCAAATCGTACCCAATACAAGATAATTCGTACCCAATTTACGGGACAGTTTGTACCCATATATATATATGTGATATTTAGAGACGTTGGAACAAAAATGAGCGATTTGCCGAACAGGGAAACATAAGTAGGCCAGGCTGAAACGCTCATGCCTTGTGGCGAGTTAAAACAAAGCCTCCAAGCAATGCTCTCAGTCGGGGTGGAAGCATTTTGAACTAGGCCTTAAGGAATTTAAATGTACTTTATCGAATTAATGCAGACACGATTCATGAAGTTAAGGGACAATTATAAAATTTAAAGCTATTGTGGATAGTTTCCCAGTTCAAAATATGTTACGTGTGTCCCAAGGAAACTACAGTATTAGAAA